ATTTTTTTTCCCACATTCAGTACAAAAGAGAAACCCCGATAAAAAAGCCTAAAAACACGCTAAAAATACCCCCAAAACCCAAACCTCTGCTTGGAGAGTAAGAAAAACCATCATAATCAGTATATTTGTGAAAGGCGTTTCCAAACGTAACAGTTAGCCCTATTTCAAAAGCCAGTCACACTCGGCATGCTTTGTCCCGTACGGTAGCAGTTTTGTTGACTATCCTGTGTTGTACGGTCTCGTGCTGTCAGGGGCTGAATAGACCACCTACCCGACCAGTGGGCCTGCACGAAGCGTGGTGTGGACCGTCACACATGCACGAATTTTCCCCCCACCCCCCAACACTAGTCAAACGTCCTCCAATCTTGGCTGGACGAGGTTGACGCAAAGTCAAACATTCGTAGGTTAGTCGGGGAGTTCAACCATACATGGTTGGCTGGTGTTCGTCTGTAAGTCAGCAAAAGTTGCCAAAACACCCGCCAACCATTCGGGAGTAAAGACAACAGTTTTTGGGGTGTCTCCTGTCTCGGGCGTCAAATTTGACCCAAATTTCACTCAAATTTGTTTCGATTCCAGTAGAAAGGTGGGCGTGACCTAAATCTGGTCAGACTGCGTCCTGGCGTCGGTTGAACCTGGTCAGCTGATGTTTGGAAACGGGAACAAATTAGTGTGAAGTTCGTGAATGTGTGACAGGGGCTGTATATGTACGAGTATGTAGTCAGACCGGATTGTTGTCGATGACAGACTTGCGTGCAAAGAATGTCCTTCAGCTTTTCAGTCCCACGTGACGTCACGCTGCCGTACCAGTCTGCGCCTGGCACCGAGCAATTATGTCTAAATATAACATTTCTGGGAAGACAGGAAGGTCGTGAGACACTGTACAAAATCCACTCTTTATACACAGCTTAAAACTTAGGTAATGGTTTCTTTGATCCTTTTCAGGTACCATTACGCCTAAATTAAGGTGTGCCTAAAGGTAGGGTTTTGTGCAGTGTGAATTCAGTCAGTTTCTCCAACATCTCACAGACGCATGTCAACAAAACTATTACTACTACTAGACTAAGTTTATGACTTTTATTTGCCCTGAGGCCTTGTTGATCATAAGTGGGTTTTTCCCTGAACGGGATAAGGTTAAACCTCCATGGAAGCGCTATATTCGTCGAATATTCCTCACTTTCTGTCTGTAGGAGGCAGCCATGTCCACTCTACAAATGTTCAGAAATACAATACCCCCCCTTCTCTAGATCTTAATGGACGAACGTTTGCAATGGCTGGATTCTAAACAGTTAATCAACTACAGCTAGAAGCAAAGACAGGTTTTCTTGTGTCTACAGAGATAGGACAGACTGTGATGACGAAGCATGTTTCATCGTACTGTAATACCAATACAATCCTACAGGTGGCGCTGTTGATAAGAGGACCAGAACAACGTAAAACATAGTGGTAGTGATCCTTACTGAGTATTCAGAGCAGACTGTGAATTTCTAGAATCCTAGTTTAATAAGGGAGCCGCGATTTGATCAATGCAACCTCTAATTCATTCATGTGGTATAACGGCAGAGTGCTCCGATCGGAACCAAGAGGATCCAAGCGGTCCCGAGTTCGAATCCTGCCATGCCACCGATCTTTTGCCCTTTAGGATTGGCACTTAACACGACTTTCCTCACTTAACTGGGCTACAATGAGTATTGTATTGTCCTCTGTGTTTGTGGCGGCATAAAAATAAGTTTGAGTATGCCGTCGCCGTGTTTTGTGTTAAATGTTGGTATAAAACTTTTAACAGCCTCTAAACATTTCCCGGAGTGTGAAATCTCGTATTTCTTGTTGATGTTAATTTTTCTGCCTCTTTTGTGTTGGTTAGGGAGGGTTCCGTCTGGAGATCCTGAACAACACCGGGCCGGAGTTTAACGCGACCACGGACATTCTCCGGGTGTTAACCCCGGGAGACGGCTTCACGTCCGCGCATGACGCCACGTAAGGATCGGTCATATCATTTTTAATAAATAATGATAATGGCAATGATAATTTGTTTTATCATTTGTAATTTATTATTTTAAAAATCCATACTTGTTACTGTTTTAAGTTTAAACTTTCGCTTCAACACAAACAAGTTCTCTCACCTAGAACTTTCGACATGTCACTCTGGCCTTCCTCAGTAGACTGACCCAGTGAGGCTTGTCACGTGATTTCTTTGAAGTGTGACGTCAACACAGACTTGTTACTGTTGTGATTTCATATATTCTAATATTCTATGGTTACTACCTATTCTCAGTCTGCAGTGGTACGAGCTGACCCTCCCGTCTGACTTCACCTGCGAGCGCTGCACCATCCGGCTGCTCCGCCTAGCGGGCGAGTGGCGCCTTGGCAACGGCAATGACTACATCTTCTGGAGCTGTGCTGACGTCACCATCGTTCCGCAGGGCAGTCCGGGTACGTCAATATGGCTTCAAAACTAGACTACTTCGCGTTCTGGAAATAAAAAAAAAGTAAAGAAATTGACAAAATGGAGTGAAAATCAACTAGAGGAGAGTGTCGATCAGACCAACTGACTACCAACCATCCAGGAGTTAGCACTAGCGACTAGGTAGAGTTTTAACACTAGCGGTCCTTTTGGATTCAGGTATGGAGTTGTTGTCAATTTTAGATATACTTGTAATGTCTCTTCCAACATTACCACACATTTCTTCAATTTGAACTTAGAGTTAGATGGGGTTTTCAAAGTACTAGCTGGCTGGCCCTAAGACCCTCTTAAACGTAACTTTGACCCTTTATCATATCTACATACATGTATAAAGAAGGAGTGCTAAAACAACAAGAGATTTAGATGTGACATTTCTGTTAATATGGCATACAATGAGTGACACGCATGTTGTGTTGCCACAGCGTGCCCTGGCGGGCAGTGTGGGAACAGCACTTGTGCCAGGCTGTACAGCGGAGACAGGTGTCAGTACAAAGGTTAGTATGCATCACTTTTTTTTACCTCCATGAAAAAATGAGGCATTGTTTTCTGGTATGTCCCTGTGTGTGTTTTTTTGCATGGCCCTTAGGTTAGGTTGTAATAGATATGGTTTTGTTCAGTCTGTCCAAGAGTGAGAAAGTCATAAATCACTTGTACGTCCGGTAGCACTGGCTGCTTTGACAGATGTTTTTCATTACATGGCCTCCTTGACAGCTGAGGTGGTTTTATCAAATCTATTTGTAAAATACATCAACCAATCATTAAATAGTATAGTGGAGTATGCTTAATATTTTCAAAGCCACCGTACCGACAAAATCATAAAACACATAATTTATATAACGCGATCTTCTTCGTAGCTGTTTCCCTTGCACGATAAAGAAAAAATTTCTTCTAGAAAAACCAACGCAGATAACAAACGACAAAGGTATGAGATGTTTAACCTCTAGTTCTGTGTACCAGATGACTGCATGGACAATACAGACTGCAATGATAACGGAGTGTGCGTGACCACTGACGCCACCTCCTACCCCAAGAAGCAATGCTACTGCAGCAGTGGCTTCTTCGGCCGTGACTGTTCCAGGGGTAAGTGTGAAACTTCTCTTGCCTTTACTTTTGACTGTACTTCTTGTTTGTTTATCTATTTATTTAAATTCAAAGATTTGAAACAAAAAGAGCAAGAAATATGTAAGGTGCAGAATTGTTGTTTCTCTGCCCGTTGGCTCCTTATAAGATGCACAATGAAAAGCCATAACCTCTAACTAATACTACTGATAGGTACAAAGAGTAATGAATAAATAATGATAATGGAAATAAGTACAACAAGATTTAAAAATGCAATGTTGTCATTATCAGCAGCAGCCAAAGTAATAGATTATTAGTGGAGTGCAATTGCAAATGTTACCTTTCTAGTTGATTGTTGTTGTTGTTGACATGAGTTCTCCATGTTTGCAGTGTCGGAGCTGAGAGCGATTCCCTCCAGTTTCTCAAGCTACTGGCACCGTGAGCTGACGGGAGGGGTGGACCTGTACTGGAAAATCCGGTCTGCGTCTGTACGTATCATCGTGTGATGGATATCTTTTTATAAACGCCAGATATCATTGGGGACATAAAGAAGATCTGTTCAATCGTAACGACATCCACACACAGGCAAACACACCTGTCCTTGGTGCTGAACACCTTCCATACAGAGACAAACACACGTCCTTGGTGCTGAACACCTTCCACACACAGGCAAACATACCTGTCCTTGGTGCCGAATTCCATCCACACACATACATACATGTCCTCGGTGCTGAACACCTTCCACAAACAGACATGCCTGTCCTTGGTGCTGAACACCATCCACACACAGACATAATGTCCTTGGTGCTGAACACCATCCACACACAAAACACCTGTCCTTGGTGCTGAAACCACAATACAATACCCATGGCTAGCACCTGTAAAAAAAGGTTTTTAGTGTGGTCTGGTTAAGTAGATGTTTACAGGTAAATCACTCATAATATGTTGCATTCTGTTCTGACGCTGTTTTCACAAAATTTTCAGAACGAGATTGAAGTTGCTCTACAGGTGGAGGGATCGACATGGGCTGGGCTGGGCTGGAGGCCACTGGGTGAGTATCAGGAATTTGTGACTTATTTCCGATTTTGTTAAAAGAAACTTCTACATGAACTGTGAGATTTCGATATTTCAGATTTGATACCTGAAGCTACACATTGCCACAGGCGTTATGTCCCCATCCGAGAGGTATCTACTACGAGGGGAACCTGACTTTATGTTGACTTTATGTTTCAGGTCTGGCGTCGACCTGTCGGAACTTCCCCGTGAATTACTTCAGTTCCGACCCGCAGGCAGAACCGGAATCAGAGCCGGAATCAGAGCCAGAACCAGAACCTACTCAGTCATCACAGGTAAGAGAATAGCCTGGTTACCTTTCTCTTCAGTGTTTTGTGGCCCTTTTCCCAGATGCACTCACCATAATATATAATGCATTCCGTTCCACACGTTAAAGCATGTGTAAAGATTTCAACGCTTACTTTGCGTACTTTCACGCATGTTATAAGGCTCCTCGAAGTCACACGTAGGATTTCGTGCAGTGCGAGGCCTACAGAGTATAGCGCTCTCCTGACTTGTTAGATCTTTCCAATCGGCCTTTCTAATTACCGCTGTGCTCAAGTACAGTCTTTCATCGTAATGACATGCGTGCCCTAATGGATCTGGGTGGGTGGTAACAAAACACATCTCTAGTTTGCCGTAACGTTTCAGTAATCTCTATTATCTAGGTTTCCCCACTTGCATCTGCCGTTGTGTTAAGAACTTATTATCTGTGAGGCATTTCACTGTGTAAAATGTCATAAGTATGTACATTAATTGATACAGCTTACGGTATTCAGATAGATGGATAGATAACGCCGTGGTACATTTGATACCCCTAGGGCCGCCGCCGCCGAGCTGTGAGCCACCTGCGCGTCCCCCGTGCGGAACCTGAGGCCGAGCCTGAAGCCGAGCCAGAAGCCGAGCCTGAGAGCTTCATCCCCTGGCAGTGCCGGGCAAACGGAAGTAAGGCATAAAAGTTTGAATCTTTTTACTTTGACTAGGACTAGTTTATGCCATATAGCCCTAGACAGTAACAACAGTTTGTGTTATCAACAGTTTGTGTACGGAGTGATTTTGTCCTTTCTTCGTGCAGGTCAAGCGGAACCAGAACCTTCGGGAGAGCCCGAGGGCGAACCCGAACCTTCCAGCGAACCCGAGGGAGAACCCGAACCTTCCAGCGAACCCGAGGGTGAACCAGAACCCGAGGGCGAACCCGAGGGCGAGCCGGAACAAGGAGGTTAGTGCAGTCATTAACACTGCACGTGCTATGCGGAAAGTACCTTAAAGCATGCTTAAATGTTCGTTTCTTCCTTGGCGTGTACCTTTACGTACGTTTAAGGTGTGCTTGAAAGTAGGGTTTCGTGTAGTCTTCATACACCTTCAGATATTCCGGTGGCATGTGTCTCTAAGTGTCAGATGCAATCTTGATTCAATCGGGTGAAATGCAGTTCCATATTTCCAGCACACTGTCATCTTTATCACTGATTTTTTGGGGTAAAGATTTGACTTTTGTTTCCAACTATGATTTGACTGTTGTTTTCTATAGGAGGAGGACGACTCCACGCCATGGACTGTGTGGACATGGTGATCGGCACGGCCATCGGGACCACCCACCGTATCGGCGACTACTACACCCGGGACAGGTCCACCCCTCAGCGGGACGGCTGGTATAACGGCCGGGACAGCCTGACTGCCGCGTACGGGGAACAGCGGGACGGGGAAACTACCATCATGTTCCGCAGAAGCCTCATGAGTGAGTCACGTTTGGTAACCTCCGTTAAAAAATGGAGGTATTGTTTATGGCGCGTGTTTGTTTGTTTGTGTGTGCGCACGCGTTTGGTTTGCGTGTGTGTGTGTGTGTCTTTGTGCGTGTGTGTTTCTGCATGGCCCTTAGGTAAGGTTGTAATGGCGTAATAGTTGGGCTCAGTATGTCCCCCCAAAAAGTCATTAATCATTTCTACAGCTGTTGGCGCTCCCTGTTTTCATAGTTTTTCTTTTTTTTTTTTTTACATTACCTGAGCTTACCACTTTCAACATTTCAGAACAATCGGGCGAACAATCGGACCACAGTTTTGACCGCTCCCTGATGCACTTTATCTATGCCCGCGGTCAGGAGTACGGGAGGTACAGCCACCGGCCAGGGTCTGCTGTGGAGAGCTGTAACGCCACGGACTACATGTAAGTACTGTTACAGTAGTAACTTCAGGTACAGTTGTTTTCATTGTGTTGTAGGAATTGCTGCTAGCCTGTGTATCATCCGTTGTATGGCGGAGATCCTCAGTGTACTTGCTCACTGAGTGCAAGGAGCCCCCTTACAAATCAGATGGTACCTAGGCTAGGATGCTGCACGCACAATTCTGATGATTCTGAAACTGGTAGTTTCTTCTTGCGAATCAAGATTAATTTCATCCTGTTTTGCTGGCTAATGCTCAATTTTGTATATTCAGAATGCATTATCCATAAGAGGGTAATCTGAATATCAGTCTTGGAATAGTACATTCTTCGAAAGTCTTTCAGCATAAGTTTACACCAAATATATCATACATATTGAGGGTGGAATGACACCAGTCTCTACAAGGCTATGGAAGCGTCTGGGAAAGAGTAGTAATTTGTTAAATAGACAGATAATATGTCAGAGGAGTTGGTCCGTGGGAATGGCTTGCTAATGCTTCACTTCTGTATAAATAGAGCTGATTGCAATTTCATACGTCCAACGTTTTTAATCAACTATATATTGCCTTCCACTTTCCGCAGGTTCTACCGGCGAGACGAGCTGAAGTACCACGGGCACGGCCGGGCTCAGAGGGGAACCACCACTCTCAACATCTTCGGTAGGTATTGCAAGAGTTCGGTAACCTCAACCATTGTTGGTAATCCCCTTGTGTTGCAGCACAAGCGTGGAGTGTCTGTAACTTTTGGAGTCTAACTCCTAACAGCTAGAATACTTTGAAATGCCATAGCTGCTTAAAGGTAATACGTGTCAACCAGATATCTCTATGGATTGACAAAATAGTACTTATAGATTGAAAGAGGCTATAATTTGCATCTTTTGGTGTTCTTGACCTGCACAAAATCCATTCTTTTTCCATACCTTTAAGCATGCGTAAAGGCTCCGTTTCTTCCTTTGTGCGTACGTTAAGGTGTGCTTAGGATTTCGCACAGTGTTTTTAACGCGTGTTTTGGCCGTAACAGAGGACCCGGACCAGGTCGGTGTGGACGGAGACTGCCGTGGAAGTTGGAGTACTCCCTCGGGCTGCCAGGGGGTTGCCTGTGACCACTCCGTGACCTGGACATACAACCCCAACACTGACAAGGTAGATTTCTTTTCTGGGACGACTTGGCAAAGAGGTTATCATTTGGCCTACGATGTTTTGTACAGTAACATTTGTTGACAAAATACCTAAAGATTCCTAAAAAGTCTAACATGGAATTTTCTTGTCACCATGAACGATTTTGCCTATTTACAATGTTTTCACCTTGTGATAACTACCTGAGCAAGTTTGGATAGACGATTTCAAAGGTTCATTTACCATTGCATTTATTAGATTATTGTTAGAGTGATGATCTGTTTTTGTTATACTTCAACGTGACTATACTTTTTCGTTTCCTTCAGATTGACTTCCAGATCCAAAGCAAACAAACTAATGACAAGTGGGTGGGACTCGGCTTCTCTGAGGACAGGGTAATGGTAGGTGCAATCACTCATCTAACTCTTAGAATTGCACACATCTTAGATTGGATACTTTCAGGTTTATCTGCAATTATTCAGCAAACTATAATAATCTCGCTATTTCCGAAAACAATTTCATCAGGTTAGTAGAAGATACTTTAGAGTATTTGAGATCTATTTTCTTTTACACAACCAGTTATGTCAATTGTGTTCTCGCCACAAAAGTACCGCCTACATCGGCTACATATAGCGGTGAGAAGCAGAACTCCAGTCAGAACCTCTGGCGAAGGTATCCGATAGATATCGAAACGTACTGTGTAAGCAGGTGAATGACATTACTAGTTGTATAAAAGAACATCCCAAACATTCTGTTTCTTACTATTATCTCTATTTTTCCAGCCTAACACCGATGCTATTGTTGGCTGGGTGACTGACAGTGGCGAGGTGTACATCAGTGATAGGTGAGTAATTCATGAAGCAGCTGCGCATTCAAGGAGATGAAATATATACAGCCGCACAGTGTGTGTATTTTTCTCAAATTGTGTACACCTTATCAAGTATGATAAATGCAAAATGAATTGCAATAAAGGCCCTTGTATCACAATTGCTTACAGATGGGCAAGTGCACGTTCCCGGCCGGCCCCGGATACCAGTGATGACATCGAGAATGCACAAGGTTCATTCACGGACGGGATGCTTACACTCAGCTTCACTCGCAAAAGGAACACAGGTGGGCATGCTAAAGAGCCAATGTCTTTATATTCTTAAGAATGATTCTGTTCTAATGAATGTTATTCTGTTCTAAAGAATGATTCTGTTCTAAAGAACTGGGCATTCTGTTCGAAAGAAACCGGGGCATAGAAACTGGGGCATACGGTTCTGACTCAAAAATAATTCTACTTCAATAATTAATAAAAGAAGTTGTATTTTGTTCTAAAAATCCCAAGGCATTCTGTTCTAAAGAATGTCATTCTGTTCTAAAGAATGTCATTCTGTTTTAGAAATGATATATTTCTGTTCTAAAAAGGCATTCTGTTTTAAAGAACGAATGAACCCAGATGCTGGTATATACTGTTCCCAAGAACGTACTGGTATTCTGTTATAAAGACTTAATAGAAAGGCCTGGAGGTAAAAAGTCCCTAGGTCATCACAATCACTGGATTTTCCATTATTATTGTTGTTTACGTTGTGTATTTGCATGTTTGTTTTGAAACAGGTGACAGCAGAGACCTGGCCTTCACGGACAGTAAGTGTCTGTACATGTTCTATCCGCGAGGGGGCGCCTATAACCATGGCGATAAGACCTTCTTCATCCATGCCAGCAACCCCGTAGTCAGCTCACGGGAGATCTGCATCAAAGCATGTGGAGCCGGTAAGTACCAAATTGTGCAACAGAAAATAAAGGGAAAAAATCTTCATTCACAAGGTTAAAATCAACTTGGTACATGAACCAAACATCTACCTAGTGGCCATCCCTACACTGTGGCTAGTCTCCACCAGACTTCCTTTGCGGGGTCAATAAATCATAGAAATCGCCTAAAAAGGGTATTAATTGGCCAGAGACTTCTTGGCGGGGCAATGGAGCTTCTCTGGCCGGCTATCTTCTCTGGCCAATTAATACCCTTTTTAGGCCAATTTCTATGATTTATTGACCCCGCAAAGGAAGTCTGGTGCAGACTACATTGTGGCCACTTTTTGTCGGACCCGTAGGTAATTTTCCCATTGACAAAAGAACCAAAAGTAGTATGAAATGGTAGCTACCTGTCTACTGTAACTATTTTCTCAAACTCCACTGTCCAAGCTTGTCTAAACTGTAGTGACAAGTCAAGGTATGATAGGTCAAGGTTCTTAATTTGAAAAGTCTTTAAATTGTAAAATAACCTAAGATGAATGTACCAGGTACCCTCAAAAAGTAGCTATATCCACTTAAACCGAATGGCCGAATGGCTCATCAAATTTGACTGCATGGTGAGCCAAAAGTGGTTAAACTTTAAATGGGGAGAGAGATGCATATAACTGTTTATGGTTTGGCAACACTGGATCATTTTCACATTCATGTATTTATCAATATTTTGCAGATGGAATAATTGTGTTAACTTTAATGTCATTTCCTTTGGGTGAAATAATTGCGTTTTCTGTTCACCTTTTCACAATTTTTTTTCCTTTGTCTTATTTCTTTGCCCAACGACTACGTTCACGTGGAAACTGACTGTTGTGTATTATGTGAGTTTATGACATGAATATACTGGTGAGCTGGAACTAAGGAATGCTTGGGTACTAACAGCTGATAAAGCAAATTAATTCTGTTTTTGAATTAGTATTATCATCTTTATTGGTACTAACATGTTTAAAGTTAATTTAACTTTTGTTCCAACACGAAGTTTGGGGATTGTTCTCAACAAGAGCTTTCGACCAGTCACTCTATTCTCCAAGCAGAGGTTTGGGTTTGGGGTTATTTTTGGCGTGTTTTTAGGCCAATTAAAAAGCCTAAAAACACGCCAAAAAAAACCCAAACCTCTGCTTGGAGAGTACAGTCACTCTGTTCTTCTTCAACAGACTGACCCAGTGACGCTAGTCACGTGGCTTCTTGAAAGTGTGACGTCATGTTTTCTGTTTGTTTGAAGGTCCCGTAGGCGCAGGGTCTACCATCAAGCCCTCCGCGGTCATCCTGCTGACCCTGGTGATGACCATGTGGGGACTACTGAGGGAGTGAGTGACCAGTACACTGGACACGTCACAATGCGTACACAACCAGCCTTCACAGCAAACATCATGATCATTGCACTCTTACTAACACGTTGGCAGAATGTACTGGGCCTTTTGAAAATCCGCAGTGCATTGTACATTACGTCTTGTTCAGGGTTGTATTTAATGATGATATCTCATAATAGTTTTCAAATGTTGTGTCGAAAAAGATTCTGACGCAACATTCTCCAAACTTTGAACAAGGCACTGTGAAAAATCTAATGAGTTTCGCGCAGGTGCAGTGAGTTCTACCACTTGCTCCTCTTACTTAATGAGTGATGCAAGCATGCTATTAGGTAAAATAGTAGAGACTTCAAGCAAATTTAGTTTTACATCCTGATGATATCAGACATTAACGGGCTTTGCATGTTTGGATCAGATTTATATTCAGATTAATTTTATCACAGCATGCTGTATAATATTCTCTCTTATAAGTGCGTGTTATATTTTTACATGCTGGAACGTGGACCAAAGACCATAGGCCTTCAGCCTATCAGAATGTTGTTAAATGAAAAGTTAGTACAGTTGTGTTAGATTTGGATTCTATCACTGCTGAAATCCTACACCTTAAACAAACGTCCACAAATGTACGCGTAAACGAAGAAACGGACACTTTACCTGTGATATAAGGTGTGTGTGAAGAATGGGTTTTGTGCAGTGTATCTTGAATCCTAATGTCACCAGATCAGCAAAGTGAGTTGAACATTTCGTGATGGAATGACGGGCATACAGAGTAGTCTGTGAATTATTTTCGAGTAGATGTAAGATACTTGGCAGTTTTAGTGATGAGATACAATTTCACTGTTTCCCTCACTGCATTGAGTACTGAAATAGGCTACACCACCAAACATCTGCATGGAAAAGGGTTTAGAAGGAAACATACAGTGTGGTAAATTAAGACATGCTGCTTTGAGCTCCAACATTGGTACATGATGATGGTAATGATTTTAGAAATCAAATCTGATTCAGTGAATATAGATAGCTGTAAAATATAGAGTTTAAAGATGCAACGTTATTAAATGTTCTATTTGATGACAATTATATTTAATTTAGAAGCACAAAAAAAATTAAGTAGCAGATACAAAGACTGTGAAGAAAGTGACATTGAATGAAATCACCAGGGGAACAAGAGTGGTGTTTAAAAACATACACTGGCAACGTTGTATAATAGTCATGTGCTGTGCTGTGTATACAAAAGTTTACATTAAGTCATTTAGTGTGTTATTTACTTAGTTAAGTTCACATAGGGCGTATGAACTCTCACTTGTATACTTTGAAAACATCACATGTTTTAGAAACATTTCCATTTTTATATGGATGTCAAGAGACTGAAATGGGCATGGATTTACGTATAATACCAAAACAAACAAACAAACAAACAAACAAACAAACATCCTAGGGGATAAAAGCCCACCATCTGAATCATATTGACAGTAAAGTATACATCTGAGAGTGATGCCCTAATTTTAATTCAGATACTCCTTGCCATTGAACCCGGTGTCTTTTTATCATCTTATACTTTACCTATAATGTTTACCTTTGCAGAAGGAGACATATTGTTTTTTTGCTCCATTTCTTCTTACGTCCCAAATACAGAAGGTCAATAATCTGGGCTGTAACAGATATGTTGGGCTACATGATGTAGCAAGATTTGTTGGATATATGAAGATGTTTGGGTCAGAATAAACAGAGCTGTAGTTTGTTAGGCTTATGCCATGTGAAGGTAAACATTATGCATTTGCTTTGCAAATGTTACATTTCTAGCTGACAACTGTCATTTTGAGTTTGAAATAAGCGCTTGTTTATAAAATAATGTTTTTAGCAAAGATGCCACCAGAGCTTTTACATGCATCATCAATTTCAAAGAGCTGGGATATACGTGAGAAAATTGCGGGTACATTTGTACACCAGGACTTGTAATAAAGGTACTAGTAATTGAGACCCCACACGTGTCTTACATGCAGTCTTTAGTGTCTTCAAGTCTATCGTTGCCTTGCCAGAAGTTTATATCATCAAGCTTCTAGAGGTTTATATCATCATATCACAAAATCTTATCAATCTGAAGAAGCGATAATAGATTAATTGATATCATTGATACATAATAAACGACAGACAAATGTCGACGCCATATTGCAGAGCTGCTTTAATTAAAATGTTTTATTTCAAGTTTTAAATCTCATGATTTTAGCCTTCCTTTCTGGAGCTTCCTTTCAAAGGTACTCCTTATGAAGAAGTTTAATTCCTGAGAGCTTAAAGCTTCTCAGGTTTGTACAGCCTTGATGTCATCATCACAGGGTCAGCTGAATCAGTCCTAAGATGCCCAGGGGAAAGAAAAGATGAGAGTTTTAGAATAAAAGCTCAGATGTATCAGTTAGTATACTTCTTAAAGCTGCATTATGTAACATCAGTAAGAACCAAAAACTCAATTTTCTGGTCGTTTGAGTGAAGTTGAGTCGTTACCCTAACTGCATTGAAAATAAGTGCCTTTCAGGGAGTGAAGGTTTCCCCTTCCCGTACCTCTTATGCTCAGGTCACATTTCCAAACCAGGAAGATATACATCGAATGGTCAGATTACATACAAAAGCGTGGACATGTAACATCAGTCAGCGCAGTCTTAATGCTATGCATGAAGCACATCTGCAAGCCGAGGACCATGTACATAGAATGTCTGTATCAAAGATATCCTGAAACCTCTTGTTTACTGACAGGACAAGACGCCGTTTGAATTGCAAAATGTCAGACTGACTTAGTCAGTCAGACTACCTGCTAGCCTGGGTAACCAAACCTTTGGTCGGATTGGCAGTAATTTTTCGGCCCCGGCCTTTACCAAGCACAGGCGAGTTATATATGCCACGGACCTATCTCCAGCTGGTTTCCCTGTATCCGCTGGCTGACTTCCTGTATTACGCTTAGCGAAGGAGCGAAGGAACTTAAAACCCCCCAAAGCGCGGTAATTGAGGCTTGGCTGGCGGGCACGAACGCTCTTGGCGCCGAAGGGATAGCGCTGAGCTCACGGCGGTCTGGTTACCAAGCGAAGAAACGTACCCCCCCCCTCCCAAAGTGCGGTAATTGAGGCCTGGTTGGCGGGCCCAAACGCTCTCTGCCCCAAAGGGATAGCACTGAGCTCACGGCGGTCTGGTTACCAGACTACCTACCTGCCAGACAGCCCTGGAAGCCGGCGTTGTAGTCCACGGCCACCTCGTTGGTGTGGAAGTTGCTGCGATCGTCCACGTAGTTATCATGGGCGTCCGGCCCTCCCACCAGGGCGCCGTCCAGCACGTTCTCGTTGAAGTCCCAGTTGTTGTAGGTGTTCCAGTCACACCAGCCGTCTATAGGGCAGGTACTGGGGAGGAAACAGGCGTGAACGTACAATGTAGAAAATTAAACCATTGAAGTCTCATCAATACTTTAGGTATCTGCCTACTGAGTAAGTGAGTGAGTGAGAGTGGAATATGTAAATGAATGATTGAATGAATGAGTATAATAATAACTGCTGTGACAGTCCTAACTACGATGACAATCTGTAAGTTCACCAACAGAATTGACTTACGACGCCCTGTGATGAGGCCTGACCGGGAAGTTATGTCCGAAGCCGACCACCAGACTGCGGCCGGAGTCGCCCAGCATGTAGTGGATCTGGTTAGCGGCAAACTCCCGGTACTGCCCGGTGTTGATGCCCATACTGGCCGCCACCAGCGCCAGGAACGCGTGGTTAGCTGTGAGCAGCATGGAGAATATAGCGCATAAATAGTGTTAGGCAATAGCCTGGGTACCATCTGGAATTTCGCTCCGCAACGCTCGAAAAAATCATGTTGCGGAGCGAAAATCCGGATGGTACACAGGCTATTAGGCAATGGTAGTAGTCGTTGCAAGAGATGGGCACTAGCCTTTAAGTTATAGCTTGAAAATTTAGCTGAAGCTGGATTTAACTGTCATTTCCAATCTTGTGTGACGGTGACTGTGTCCTATTCTCATTCACCATGGTGTCTACAAGGCTTTCATTACTGTGCAAGGAAAACAACACCAGCTGTCAAGGAGGTCATGTAACAAAAACGCATTTGAAAACAGCTGGCGCTGCCAGATGACTTTGTCCCTTAGACAGTCTGAACGCAACTATATACATTACAATCCTAGGGGCCATGCAACACACACACACAAACACACACACACACACATGCCAAAAACAATACCTCCATTTTTCACGGAGGTAAATACCCACCGGAATGCCTGCAGGATCCCCACTCGTTCAGCCACAGCAGGCCCTTGGGTGTGTAGGTATCTCCGCCGCCTGGCATCTTCCTACTCATGTATGTTGAGATGTCATTCTTGTACTTCTCCTTGTTTGTCGCCTTGTACAGAACCAGCTACGGACGCAAAGAGTGAACATTTGAATATAAATCAAACTTTATTGCAAATTTGTGCCCGAGGGATAATTTCAAGAAAATTGGAAATGATAAAATATGAACATAAGATAATACTACTGCTACATGTACTTCTAATACAGTTATTGCAGTGCTTGATCTTTCTGTGTGCAGTGGAGTAATAATATGAAATGAGATGGATGAATTTGAGGATGTTAATAGAAATGAATTTTTTGTAGGCTTGCTTACCACAAATATGCAGAAACACACGCACACACATTCAGCCACACACACACACACAAACACAAACAGGCAGACCTAAAACGATACCTCCATTTTTCACGGAGGTAATTATCCCTCACCATTGCTCCCGACTGTTTCTCGTCCCAGCTGAATCCGCCGCCGCTGATGCCGTACTCGTCATAGTACTGCTCAGCCTTGGTGAGGTACCCCGCCTCCCCGGTCGCCCGGTACATCCAGGCGGCTCCCCAGGTCAGCTCGTCATTCATGCCACCAAACGAGCTGAGGCGTCATAAAACACAGACACAAAGGTATGAAGAACCTTCCCCCAATCAACAACCAACCAACCCATGTTGGCTGAGGTTCGGGAGCAGTCTGACCAGATTTAAGCCACGCCTACCGGTTATAATACAAGTCAAATCGAATTAGAATTAAATTTAAGTTAAATTTGACCCCCGAACATGCTCAAAACACTCAGCTGATCTACTAACACCGCCCAACCACCGGCCAACCATGGCCGAACCATGGAAAAATAACCTGGTGACGGCAATGAATGACTATACAAAGGAGGCCCCTACGCTTACTCTAATAACCTTCTTGAACATACATGTACTAAGAGAAAGTAGACAGAGGATGTTCCTTAAGCCTATAACCTACTTGAATATACTAGTACTAAGACCAAGTAGACAGTGGTTTGAGAGACAAGCGACTCACGGGTACGGCGTGTCGTGGATGACGTTCTGATAGTCTCCCCTGTAGGTGTCGGCGAACTCATACAGATCCCGGGCGTGCTGCAGCAGAGTGTCCGCATACCCGGCGTCTGGGAGCAAACAAAACAACGGAAAAAACAACATGATTACACTCAACGCGGTCCAACGGATGGGTCCTTTTCACGTTTGGTGGCAATTTTTTACTACCTGTCCACAGACTTTCCAGGAGAAGAACCGTTAGCATTATGGCCTTGCGTAGAGAGACATTATGTCCCATGGGCTACCAGCCTACCACAAACACAATCTAAGATGCAAAAATCTGAATTGATCCTCCTACAACATAAAATTGTGATTAAAAAGATGCAAATGTAGTAAGTAAATGAATCAACCAAGGGGTATTCTGTCGACGTGCGTCGCTCCTTGCCGCGCTTTTGTGTTCAGAAATGTAGAAAAGACCACAAAAGATCAACAACATAATCACTGTACGAAATCCATTCTTTAGGAACAATTCAAAGCTTGCGTAAATGTTCTGTTTCTTCCATTGCGTTTCAAGGAGCTCTAATATAGGATTTCGTGTAGTGAATCCCCAAGCGATTTATCTGTTTGGAGATTAGTAGCTCTTATTTTGTACCTCCGTTTTCCCTGAAGACGATGGAAGCAGCAGCCATGGCGGCGGCGGCCTCGGCGGTGACTTCCGACCCAGGCTGGTTGGCTGTGACTTTCTTGGCGGGCCGGTGCATGGTCATGGCCTGGGGCTGGCACCACACCGCGTGGTCTGCACCGGTGTCGCCAACCTGGCAAAATTAGGAAGAAAACTTTCAACAACGATCTTATTGAATTAAGCCTGAATGTTTTGTCTGTAAGTAGAGGCGATCCATCGCAACAGGGCACCATTACGGCATTCGTATCAGCTATAAAAAAACGCCCCTGCAGTTCCAGAAAAAGGCCACTATGTGTAGGGGCCCTAACTCACGCCACCTGTTCCCGGACACAAGAGCCTATTACCATCCGACATTTGTGTCTCTAGCATGCCCAGATCACGAGATATCAAAACAGGTAGTACCGCTGCAGTATCATAACAAGCCGCCATGGGGTGGGCAAATTTAAACATTTTGCGGTCTCATGACGGCCTAGCCACAGACCAAGTATCAACTTGAAGACAATCCATGTAAGCCTTCTCGAACCTTACCTGCGCCACGAACTCGAACTTGCTGGGATGGCACTTGATGAGGTAGTCCGTCACCCATTTGATGGAGTCCAGGGCGTTGGCCATCTCCCCGGCGGCTTCGTACGCCCGCTTGAACTCGATCATGCCCCAGGACAGCACGGTGATGGTGTAGGCCAGCGGGAAGTGCAGCTTCAAGTGGTCACCAGCTGGAGAGAAATACCATGTATGGTGAATCAATCTGGACGGTGGCCAGGACGAGGGGTGATATAGACTTGACTTACAGGCTCTACTGATAGAGAAATATAAAAATTATGGTGAATCAATCTGAATGGAGGCCGGGAGGGACGGGGGCGATATCAACTTGACTCACAGGCTCTACTGATAGAGAAATGACATGTATGGTGAATCCCTTATAATCTGAACAGAGGCCGGGACGGAGGGCGATATAGACTTCCAAGCTCCAATGATCAAAAGCTGTAGAGAGATGAGATGTACGGTGAATCAATATTATACTAGTATCTGAACGGAGGGCGATATAGACGCCCAGAGAGATTTGGTAAAAAATTCCGGTGAGTGAAATTCCTTTTCATTTGGAGTACAGTTTGATTTTCACAGACGAACTTTCACGCTAATTATAATAATATAGATGAACATGTTTTTTTACCGTCGAACCAGCCTCCCGACAGGTCGAGCCCCACGTCCTGACCGTCGCCTTGGCAACAGGAGCGTCGCCATGGGATACGGTTGTTGCCAGGCAGGTTGCCGGCACGCTGCGCCTCGTAGAACAGGATGGACTTGTGCAGGGCGTCCACGTAGTCGTACGCACCGACCTGGCCGGGGGAGAAAATAAACGTCAAGAGCCGAGTACAGTAGCAAAACACAGTTTCTTCAGGTTGTCAAATAACGAATATATTCACAAATATATTTCCATCTTCTTGAAACTATATATCACTCTTTGAACAAACTACTTTAGGTTAGCTGGGTGGTGAAGGACTTTGGGGATGATTTAAAAAAATAAGTCTGACCGTTCCTAGGCAAGGTTATGGATAATTTAGCATGGTAGCCTGGCTACTCGTGGGGTATCCAGGACCGTTCTCCAGGGATCCCCGGCAGTCATGGCATCAGCACAACATGAATATGCACATACCCACGGTCCACGTGTAACGTTACATAAGGTAAGGCCAAACAAGGCTTCTACCGGAAGAAAAGATAACAGTACACTTTAATCAAATATTACTATTGACCGAGCAGTTATTTGTGTGTGTCAAGCACATATGGCGATGTTCCCATATACTTGTGTGTACACACAAACATATGTATAGGTCCGTCGGGCTTGTTTTACAGATGACCTTTCCCGTATTTTTAGTTCAGAACAACAAAAAAACGCATCTATAAGGATAAAATACGCTCCCTTTTCACTATACGGCAATCAAGCAGGGCCGAAAACAGATTTCCGTGATTTCATAATCATAATACAAGATTTAAAAGTATGATGTACATGTAAAATGACACACAAAACGTACCAAAAATTGTTCTTAATCTATGCACGATTGCAGCTAGCCTCCAGCAGCCCTTCCTACGACCCTGGATACGGATCGCAGAATTGGGCCGGCAAAAAGGGCAATAAGTTTAGTTGTTTAGGAGAGTCAGTTCGAGGGAAAGTTACCCCCCTCCCCCCTCTCCCTAATCAGGACTCTACACTACAGACTGGCAAAACTCCCTTGGCCAATTATTCTCGCTATTTGGCTAAATTCGACCTGGCAGAGGAACATATTGTTCTTGTTGACGGCTCCGATCAGAATATTCTGTGAAGCTCAATAAATAAATAAATAAAAACACACAAACTTACCACAGGAGGGACGACGCCCACAGTGGTGGCGGAACCCTGTGTAGCGGCGGTGGGAGAGGTGGGGTGGGTGTGGCTGGTAGACGGGCGGTGGGTTGTCCCAGTACCAGTACCTGTACCTGTCAACATAAGATAATTATCTAGTTGTTTAAGTCCAGGAAATATCAATGAAAATAGGTGATAACTACATTATATACATACATTGCATACAGTATTCAGGGGTCGAAATAACCCTCTGTGTGCAACTTGGTGCAAGTAAATTTGGTGTAGTGCAACTAATTTTTTGCCTGCTTGCACCATGGTGCAAGTTTGCTTTATCCACTGTTACTACCTGTAGAATTACCCAATAATATTAATTAAAAAAGAACTGGAGTGGAAAGGAACAAAACCAGAATCCATGAAGTTTTTCTTCATTTTTTGTAAGTAACAGAAGGTTACTATCTACGTCGCTGCCAGCGGATGTTTCCCATCACTTCTGTATTTTTGGAGGGTGCAACTATTTTTCTTCCGGTGCAAGTATTTTTCTTTTCATTTGCACCAGTGCAAGTTGGCCCCAAAATCTATTTCGACCCCTGGTATTATAACACCAATCTTTACTTCATACATATAATCATAGAGAATTAATGAGCTAGCACCCCTCTATCTCATTAATTCGCCTCAAGAATTTCGTAAGAATTAATGAGATAACACCCCTCTATCTCATTAATTCTCTTTAATTAGCACATACCAAATATCATCAATGCAAGATCCACCTACAACTTCTTGAGTTATGCTTTCCACGAGCAAACAGCAAGAATTCGGAGATCTCAGACCTCCATAAAATATCTAGATCTTGTGCAATCCCCTTCTTTATCATGCACCATCTGTCAAGGAGGTCATGTAAGGCCATGTTGATTTGATTATATGGATGACATCCTCCGGGAGCCCCAAAACTGATGCGCGCGTGCGAATAAAAAAAAAGTTTTGCAAAAAAAAAAAGTTCTTTTCATTATGAAATCTACGTGGTCATGAGGGTTGAGCAAATGGCACAGAATATGGTTTGGCGAATAATCTAGTCTTCAAGTTCATTTCTTTACAATTTCGTCTTTTTTCGTTTGATTTT